TGTTTCTAAAAACTTTGAAGGAAAGGAATCATACCCCACCTATTTTTTTTTTGTGACTTGCTCTTTTCTTTCAACATGATGTTCCTGAGGTTCATCCTCATTGGTGAGCACAGCGATCATTCATTCATTTTTAGTGATGCAGAGTATCCTATTGTATGTGCAGACCTCAAAGTATCTGTCCATTCTGCTGTTGATGGGTAGTTGGGTTGCTACCAATTTTTTGCTATTGCAATTTGCTGTTGCTATAAACATTGTCAAGAATTTTTTCAATATATGAGCAATCTCTGGGATATCAAACAGAGTGGAATTATTGGATCATAGGATTTGGGGTTCTTTAGCTAATGCCATATCATTTTCCAAAACAGATGTGATGGTTAGTTTTATGGGTCAAGTTGGATGGTGTTTTGGGATGAAAATAACATTTAAATTGGTGAATTTTGAATAAGCAGATTGTTCTCCGTCACGTAGGTGGGCCTCATCCAGTCAGTTGAAGTCCTGAAAGAACAAAAAGACTGGTCTCCCCAAACAAGAGGCAATTCCTCAGCAGCCTGCCTTCAGGCCTCGTCTGCACCAACCGGTCTCCTGGGTCTCCAGCCTGCCTGCCTACGCTGCACTTCTGGCCTTACCAGTCCCCACAGTTGCCTGAGCCAATTCCTGATAATAACTCTCTCCATATCCACATATGCATCCCATTGGCTCTGTTTGTCTGACTCAAATAACAGCCATACAAATGTACAGTCCTGCGAGCAGTGCACAGATGTTCCAACCTATGGAATCCTAGTTGGTCGCCCTGCCCTGGAACTCCTCCCCTCCTAGAAAGCTGCAGCCAGTTTAATCTTCTAGGTGGTGAAAGAAAAAAAAAATGGTTTATTAGATGTTTCTAAACAATGTTCAGAGATGTCCCATGTTCTGCATTACAGATTGAAGTTCAAACTCCACCAGGCACATAGAGATCTGGGCCATACTAACTTTCTCGGTTTGTCCCTAACATTCTGCTGCGCTGGTGGGCTGCAAAATTCTTTTTTTTTTTTAGCATGTACCAAAGCCTTACCTGAGACCCCAAAGAATCACACGTTGAGCCCCGTTGATGGTGCAGGCAGGGAGAGGGTCCCACCCTTGCAGTGCCTTCCTCACCCCTGAGGCCACCTCGCTGGGAGGGAAGGGCCTCAGAGGCCAGAGTGACAACCACATCCCGACCGAGGTCAGTGTCCTGGTCGAAGAGGGCCGTGCTCTGCCCCCTGTGTGAACTTGACACTTGTGCTGTGTCCTGCTTCACGCCATCAGCAACCCCCTAAGACGCCCTTCCCCGTCTTCTCCCCTTCCCCTGCCCCAGTCTCTCTTCCTTAAAAAGTCCCTTCTGATTTCTCAAGGGCCAGCTCGAGTTTTCCCTGCCTTCAGCCCCCCTGATTCATTTTGCTGGAGTCAACCTCTCCTCCATCTCATTTCTGACACTTCAGAGGCACCGACTGGGTTCACCCTGGCGCTGCCCTGCCACCCGGCAGCTCAGCAACCCTGGGCAGGTTACTCGACAGTCCTGAATCTCAGCGTCTGCTGTCGTGTCAGGGGAGAACATGCCCTCCCCACGGGGATTCGTAAGGATTGAAACGAGGCTATGTTCAGTCACTTCCCGCAGAGCAGGCACCCTGTAAAGGTAGGTAGCAGGGTGTTTCGAGTGGGCCGCCCGTTCGGGGGAGGATTTCCATAGTACGACCACGTTTGCTTTAACTTCCCGTTAAGGCCAGAGACCCACAGGTGGCAGTAATTTTCCCCACGACCCCACACACTCTGCAGTGAAAGGGCGGCTTTTGAAATGTGGCCTCCCAAGTCTCCCCAGCATATTTTCCCATAGAGTAGATAAAAATCAATGTGACAATTTTCACCATTAAGTTCTCTAAATTAGTTGCTAATGAAGAAATGCCTATCCTGCAGCAAACACACATTTTTAAGTGATTTTGTATTGGCAGCCCCATGCATCTGGAATGAGATGTCTGATCTGCTCATCTAGGCTGAAAGCTCTGGGGGAGGGACAACAGCCAACGTCACCCGCTTGGAGGGACCCAGGGCACTCCCATGCCCCCCAGGCTGTCACCTATGTCAATAATTCCTTCATCCTTTTGAAGTTCTTTTTTTTTTTTTTTTTTTTTTGAGACAGAGTCTCACTCTGTTGCCCAGGCTAATAGCTGGGACTGCAGGCATGTGCCACCATGCCCAGCTAATTTTTTCTATATATATTTTAATTGGCTAATTAATTTTTTAGTAGAGACAGTTCTCCCTCTTGCTCAGGCTGGTTTCGAACTCCTGACCTCGAGTGATCCGCCCGCCTCAGTCTCCCAGAGAGCTAGGATTATAGGCATGAGCCACCTCGCCCAGCCCCTTTTGAAGTTCTTAACAATCTATTATACAGATTAGGATTGCTGGATTCCAAGTCTGATTTTTAAAATTATCAAATAAGATTGTCAACTCCCACTTTACAGTACACGAAAACACAATATTTACAGATCCTGGTATGTTGTTATTACAATAAAGCACCTAAGGAAAAATTTAAGTATATTTAAGGTTAATTTTCAAATACAACTAATATATTTTTTAAACTCACTATAATTCTTGGTTCAAAAAACTGCAGCCCTCCAAATCTTGAAATAGGGTAGAACACTCTCACTGTCCCATAACAGCAAGCTGTTCTTTAAAAATAGAAATGATCAAAAACAACAGCAACGAAACATGACTAAGGATACTGTCATGAAGAATTTAAACAAGATGGAGAGCCAGGCACCTGATTCTCTGGCTGGCCACTGACTGAAAAATCTCACCATTGTTTTTACTTATTTATTTTGTTTTCATTTCAGACTATTACAGGGGTGCAAATGCTTTGGTTACATGTATTGCTTTTGCATCACCTGAGTCAGAGCTACAAACATGCCCATCCCCCAGCCAGTGCACACAACACCCATTATTTGTAAGTTTATCTAACCCCTCTCTCCCCCTACCTGCCCGACACCTGATGAATGTTACTTCCACATGTGCACATAAGTGTTGATCGGTTAATACCAATTTGCTGGTGAGTACATGTGGTGCTTATCTTTCCCATTCTTGTGATACTTCACTTAGAAGAATGGGCTCCAGCTCCATCCAGGATAACACAAGAGGTGCTACATCACCATTGTTTTTGTGCCTGAGCAGAAGTCCATGGTATACATAGACCACATTTTATGAATCCACTCATGTATGGACGGGCACTTGGGTTGCTTCTACATCTTTGCAGTTGTGAAGTGTGCTGCTATAAACATTTGAGTGCAGATGTCTTCATTGCAGAATGTCTTTTTTTTCCTTTGGGTAAAATTGTTTCCTAAAAGCCCCATGACGAGAGAGTGCTCTCTTTTCCTAACCTCAAAAGTAGCAGGAGCAATACATCTGCATGATAAAAATAGAAAATATGCCCCAAACTGTTCATACATGAAGATAAAAATCCTACCTAGGTGTGGCAACCATCATTTAGTTCTCTGTAGTTTAGCTCTATCTTTATCCTAATTTGCAGAAAAGGTAGAGCTATCTGTTTTTAATTGGGTATTCTTTGGCCTAACCTGGGACCCAAAGTGCAAAGGCTCGCCACATAAGGCAGGGAGGGGCAAGCCCAACTTGCTCTGGCCTTGGCGGCTCCAGGCAGGTGTCAAAGGGCTCATTCTGTTTTCAGACCCTGGCAAATTCTCTCCTTCACTTGCATGACTGATCAAACGTGGACTATACACTAAAAACTTGCAAACAGCATTTAACACATGTCTGCATACAACAGCACATGAGGACTTGACTCTTCAATAAATAAGCATTTATCTAAAGAGGTCTTGCTAACTGACACCCTACAAAACTCAGCGACATGCACAAAATTAGTCTTGAGCTTAGCTGCACCTAAAGGGAAAGGGAAAACTAAACACGTGGAAATTTTTCTTACCCCCTGACCATTTGATATTCCTCATACAGTACTGGAACTGTTCTTCCAGAATATGGTTCCCTTAAAAATGAAGCACTATACCAATGTCATATAATGTTCTCCTCTCTGTGACCATGGGGCGTAATTTGAGAGAAAGCAGACAAGAAACACACAGTCCCAAAATATTTTCTCCTTTAGAGTATAAGTGACATCTAAAATTTTCATCATTAGTCATTTTGTATCAAAAGCATAGGAAATAATAATAATATTCATGAGAATACTGATCATTCTCTGACTACCATGGGCCAAGTTCTTTAAATATATTATCTCTAAACCATTCAATAGGTAGAATGGCATTACCAACTCAATTTACTATTCAGGACCTGAGATTTGGAGGAATCAAGCAACGAACGCTAGGTTGTATGGAAAGTACTGTCTATAAAACCCAAGTTTTCCTAATACACCATACCCACTCTATGTGGCCATTACTGGAAAGACCAAACTGGCAGATGGTAGAACAGAAAACGCTCCAAGAAATCATTAGATTCTTTCTGCCATAACAGCTAGCAATTCCTGAAGAAAGTGTCCTTTCTCGCTAAACTTGGACAAGGCGAAAGACCAAGCCAGTGTTTGAACTCTGCCCAGGGTTCACTGTAATAATAGCTGAGATTCAGTGCTGCAGGAAGGACCCTCGACATCCAGGGATTGTAGTTAGTGCTGAGTGCCTGGCAAAGAGAATGGCACAGCCTGGCTGGGAGGGACGCGGCTCCTGAACCCACACGTTGCCAACATCAATTTAATCTAGGCTCAAGTTGTCCTGAAGACAACATAAAACCTGTGCTTTCTCCCACCACATGCAAATTTGTGAGACATCTGCTCAAGAAATGACAGCACTTTAAGAAAAATGAAATTGATCCACAGTATTACCCTCTCTGAAACAATGATATCATGGCATCCGGAAATGGAGTTGGGAAATGCCACTGAAATAGGATACAGTATTCTGTGGCTTCCACTTGGGCTTTACAGAATCGAACGTGGTAGGTGGATAAAAAGGAAAACAAAACTTTGCCCTTACCTGGCTGAACCACCTGGATCACCTTCTCCCAAGTTCCCTGCGGGAAAGTGTGAAGGAAGCAGGAATAGTAGCCAACATCAGCTTCGGAGGTGTTGTGAAAAGAAAGGGTCATATCGTTGGGAGCCATCGTGGAGTTCAGAAAGGAGACCCTGTCGGCGTAAGGCTCCCTGATGATCACACCGTGAGTGGGGCTGAAAATGGCTATGGCCTCTCTCTCCATTGAGTTGATCTTGAACCACTCCATCTGCGTTAGGATGTCCGTGGAAGGGTACACGCATTCCAGAGTCATATTCTCAGCAAGTTTAACAGCCGTGTCCCAAAATATCTCTTCACAGAGAGCTGCAATATACGACACCACACGAACTCGGTTAGGCTTACTGATGGAGACACCCAGTGCATACCTTGGGCTTCCCAAAGGCCTGGCAAGATTGCATATTGAGACCATGGTAAAGGCTGACAGTTTCTACCTTAGTCTGAAAAAGGTTTACACCACTGACAGCGGGCAATTGTGACTTTTAGTTTTTCTGCACAAGTGAGAAATTATCTAAGCCCCTTAGGGAGCATTATAAACTCTGAACGTGTCATGCAGTAAGACCGAAAAAGGAGCAAATTTTAAAAATGAAGACATAAAGATTATCTTTACCTTTGCATACATGAAGAATAGCCAAAAGGAAAGCAAAATAATCCATCTCTGGAAATCGTTTGAAAGGCTGGTCTATAAAAAAATTAATTTTTATAATGTTACATGCAGAGGCCCAGCATGAAGCACTGTTTCCTTCCTCTCAGATATTATCAGTCGTGTCTTCTTTTTCTGAAGTATGAACACAGGAAAAAGGTCTTAGCTTCAAAGATAGGTTTGTTCTCACATACGGATGGGCAGATTTGAGTTACTTCTCTCGGGGAAATAGTCGGCTTACTGTCAAGGTTTCGTTTTCTACGAAGAGTCACTCATTCATTCAACAAGTGTTTGCTGAGTGTGTTCTCTGTGCCAAATTCTGCTTTAGACAATAAGGATACAATAACGCCTCTAAAAAAAAAAATTCTTGCCATTATAGAACTTACGTTCTACTGGAAAGAGACAAAAACTAAAATAAAGTAAAAAAATATATAGTAAGTTGAAGGTGGTAAGTGCGTGAGGAAAAATAAAGCCGGCAAGGGGAGCTAGGGAAAGGTGGGTTGTATTTCCCTTTTAGAGGGCAAGACCCGGGAGGTAAGGACTCCCTGAGAGGGTGAGACTGGGGCACAGAAGGGCTTGGGGGACAGGCCTCGTGGCCCTGGGGGTGGAGTCTCCACCCAGCGCTGACAGCCCGTGGCCGTGGCTTTCTTTCCATCTCTGCCTCTTTGCTGACCACAGGCACTTGCTTAGGTGGTTGATGAACAGAACTCCCAAGGCGCTCCAGAAATAAAAGTGTGGGGGCCTGGGGCACAGGCAAACCTAACATTATGAGCGATTTTTTAAAAGAACTTTTTACTTGGAAATTACAATAATTATAGAGTTCCAGGAAGTTGCAAAGGCAGTACAGAGAAGTCCCGTGTACCCTTCACCCAGTTTCCCCCAGTTGTGACATCGTACACAGTTATAGTCCAGTATCCAAACACGGTTGATTTCTCAGGTTCATCATTGTGCTCTTCTTTCATTACAAAAAAAAAAAAAAGGTTGAAGTTCTTATGAACTTTTCAGGAACATACTAGCGTGTCAGTATAAAAATTATACCTCTATAGAACGAGGAATTGTAGCAACAATGTGGATGGAACAGGAGAACATTACGTTAAGTGAAATAAGCCAAGCACAGAAAGACAAATCTCGCATGTTCTCACTCATACGTGGGAGCTAAACATTAAAAACAATTGATCTCATGGAGACAGAGAGTAGAATGTCAGTTTCCAGAGGCTGGGAAGGGTAGCGGGGAGGGGAGATAAAGCGGGCATGGCCAATGGGTACAAAAATATAGCTAGAATGAGCAATATCTGACAGCACAACAATGTGACTATAATCAACAGTAAATTATGATATACTTTAAAGCAACTAAAAGAGTGGAATTAGGATGTTCCTAACACAAAGAAATGATAAATGCCTGAAGGGATGAATACCCCAATTACCCTGATTTGACTAATTCACATTATATGTCTGTATCAAAACTTCACGTGTACCCTAGAGCCATACAACTATTATGTGCCCTTAAGAATTTTTAAAAAATGAAAATGTTTAAACTAAAAAAAGAGGAATTGTATAAATGCATCTGACCCTGATAAGTGCCAAAATAAAAGGTGAGTAAAAATTGGACTAAGAAGGAACAGGAATCACTACAGACAATGCTGCCTAATGGCAACTCTAAGCTTTATATGTGACTCAGTTCTGAAGCTTATCCGTAGGTGTCAAGCACTCCACATCTGTCTCTAAAGTGGGACCTGTTCCAGGGAACTTGAAATCAACAAGGTCATGATAATCAGAACAAAATTGTAATTTGTACACATAATCACATATAGTGTCACCTATGTTTACATGGCATTTTCTATACGCTTTCACGCCTATGATATTATTTGTGCCCTGCTTAGCCCCTTGGAAATCCAGGCCTGCGAAGGACATGGCCTTTACCCTCGAGTCACACATAATATAGTGGGTTGGATGGATTTTAAAAAAAGCAACTTATAATAATAAAATGTGATAACTTCTATACAAATTATTTGACTAAATTTTATGACAGGCCGAAGGGAATAATTCATTCTAATGGATTTGGGAAAAGTCTGGTAAGAAAAGTGGAAGAGAGGGGTTTGGCAATAGGCAGCATTTTCAGAAAATAGTGTGACTACAGTCTAGGGGGTGGGAAGTGATCCAAAAGGAAGCTAAGCATGGATCGAAAGGTGCTTGAATGACACGCATGAAGGAACTGAAACCCGACAATCGGAAACCAGGGTGTCTTGCCCACATCTGTGACTCCACCACCGAGCCCAGGTCCTGGCACAAACACATCTCCGGGAGCGACTCAGCCACTGAGCATCTTCCGCAGGCAAGTGGTGTGGACAGTTTTGCATGTTTGAAAGATAACTTTAGTCACTGTGGAGAATGGACTGGGTGGCAAGGACATCGAGGATTCATATCTGAGTTGGAAAAATCCATTTCATCCACAAAGTCTTAATTATGAGACTTCCTCTTAACAGGCACCAACAAAAATAAAACTACCAAAGCTGGTTTAGGCTAAGTCCCAAGAATTCCTGACATCCCACTATGTCCTGCCTCAGACCTGTGTCCCTTTGTACACACACATGCTCACACATGCCTGCACTCATGCACTCATATATATGCTCTCTCACACACACTCCCACATGCTGTTTCACACACCCACACATGCATGCACTCACACACACATGCTGTCACATATACTCCCACATGCATCCATTCACACACATGCTCACACACTCGCACATGCATGCATTTACACACATACTCTCATACATTCACACATGCATGCACTCACACACACATGCTGTCACATACACACATGCACTCACACACACATGCTGTCACATATACTCCTACATGCATCCATTCACACACATGCTCACACACTCGCACATGCAGGCATTTACACACATACTCTCATATATCCACACATGCATGCACTCACACACATACTGTCACATACACACATGCACTCACACACACACATGCTGTCACATATACTCCCACATGCATCCATTCACACACATGCTCACACACTCGCACATGCAGGCATTTACACACATACTCTCATATATCCATACATGCATGCACTCACACACACATGCTGTCACATACACACATGTACTCACACACACACATGCTGTCACATATACTCCCACATGCATCCATTCACACCCATGCTCACACACTCGCACATACATGCATTTACACACATACTCTCATACATTCACACATGCATGCACTCACACACACATGCTGTCACATACACACATGCACTCACACACATGCTGTCACATACACACTGTTACCATAATCTGAGCAAGACGAGGATGATTCTCATGGAGATGAAGAGAAGTGCACTGACTGCCAGGGTAGGACCTGTCACCACATAGAGATACAACAATAGGGACCCTTACTGCCATGTGTCCTAGGCAGAGTCCAAGCAGGAAAACAGCCCACACCTAATGATTCAGTAGAAAATGTTTCATAAGATAAACTACTAGAAAGGGTCATGGGAGAGCCAAAAACCCCAAACAGGGATGGAGAGACAGACAACTCCAAGAGGGGCTTCAGGAGGAATCCGTTTCTGCCTTTGGGGGTAGAAGGTCCAGGAAGAGCCTGGGCTGCCCACTGTGGAGGCCGCCTGACTAAAGCTGGGCCCAGGGAGGAGATGCAGCCCTTCCCGAGATGCTGGGAAAGGTCAAGGAATGGGTCTATTGGGAGGAAAAAAGGCAAATGACAGACAAAGAAACCATTGCTCAGAGAACTTAAATTACTGCTGGTGAACGGTGTTTATGAAAAACACACAGCTGACATTACACTCCGTAGTGAAAGTCCCCCTATGATCAGAGACAAGACGAGGATGCCTGCTTTCACCACCAATATTCACACTGCAGTGAAGGTTTTAGAGCAACTAGGCAAGAAAAAGTAATGAAAATAAAAGGCATCCAAGTTGCAAAGAAGAAATAAAACTATCCCTATGCACTGATAAAACTCCTTTAAAACTCACAAAATAACTATTATAACTAATAAACAAATTCCACAAAGTTGCAGGATAGAAGACCAACACATGAAAATCTGTTGTGTTTCAATCTACAACAGATACTAACAGTAAGCAAATTGGAGGGAAAATTTAAAAAAAAAAAAATTCCATCTTATAACAGCATCCAAAACAGTAAAATACCTGTGAATAAATTTAACCAAGGAGGTGAAAGACTTTACACCGAAAAACGACAAAACGTTGCTGAAAGAAATTCAAGAAGACCTAAATTGGGGAAACACATATTTAGAGAATATGTGCGAAAGACATCTCAGGTTCACGAATTGGAAAATGTAATGCTGCTAAGACGGCAACGCTGCTCACATCCTCGGGTCCTGAAAGAGGTTGGATGTGACGAAGCCTCCTGTGCCCTCGGCAGCTCCGACAACGGGCCCTGAGCAAACTTCCTTAGGTGTGTGGGAGGGGTGTTGAAAAAGGAATAGTAACCGATAATAACCTGTAGGAACCCCTTAATTCCCGAGGCTTCCAGGATGACTTAGTCAGGGGATGAAGACAACTTCAGTGCACTTGCATTCCGGACTCGGGGGACCTAGAGGTCACGGATGGGAATGAAAGGTGCAGAGAGACTCGTGGCTGAAGATAAAGTTCAGCTACTACAACTTTGCGAAGGACGAGCTCTATTTATCAACATCTAACCAAAGACAGATAGAGACTGCACCTGAGCTATTTTTGTTGTGTCGCCAGCCATTTTTTGCATGATTTATGAAGGGGTTTTGGCTTGAGGTTGTTTTTTTTTTCTTTTTCTAATAGAGTTGTCTGTATAAAAGAGCTTTGTCCTCAAGGAAGTCATTAATCAAAATATTACTGGATCTCTCTACTGTTAGAAACGCCTCAGCCAGCCGCATGAGTGTGACTTCATCTCAGGAGCTGGCCCCTGCATGCAGACTCCTGGGGGCCCGGGCTGGGCAGCGGCCTTCAGACATGCCCTTTCCCTTCCCCTAGGCTGTCCACGCAGGGAGAAGCTTCTCTGTCGCCTCGGTTTCATTGCTTCGACCACCCATAATGTGTTCTGCTTCCCAGACGTCCCTACCGTTCCTGAATGTTGGGAGGATCCCAGTCTCTCCTCGATCACCCGCACCCCACCTTCCCCGGCTCCTGCTACGACACCTGGCGTGTGTGACGGGCACTCTGTTCCCGCTGTCATGCCTTCCCACACGTGCTCCGGCGACTATCCGCACGCTGGGAAGCAGAAAGCCTGCGCTCCGCTCTGAGAACAAGTGACTGTGGCAGGCCGGGGAGATCACAGACGTGAGGTCCTCGGTCCCCTCCCCTTGTGGTCAGACGCCAGGGTTTGACCGTGTGCCTGCCGCCGGGATGTCCTAGTGGATGTCCTAGCTGTTAGGAGGCTCGTGCTCACGGTAAGATGATTTCAACAGCAGCCTGGGTTTCCGCGCCCACCCTCAATAAATCTCACTACGAGAATCTTTCCAATGAGGGACGTGTGGCTTCCTCTGGACCAGGATACCCGTAGAGCTCTGGCAAGTCGTGCGCCTGTCCCCAGAAGTTAGACTGCTCTGAGTGAAGGATAAAAACCTACCTCCATTCAAAGCGGAGGCTTGGGTTTGGGTTCGGTGGGGATCCTCCAGGACAGGGCTCTGTGAGCCACGGCCCTGGGCCGAATCCAGCCCCCCGTCTGCCTGCTGCAGGCAGTTCAGCTGGAACCCAGCCATGTTCATTCGTTTGCATATTGTCTAGGGCTGGTTCCGTGCTAGGGTGGCCAAGCTGAGCGGTGTTGAGTTGTGGCAGACGCCATATGGCCCACAAAGCTGCACGTGTTAACTCCCTGACCTTTACAGAGAACTTGTCCCAACCCTTGAGTAGGATAATAAATCTTTAGCTAGTGGACATTTATTATTTAAGTTCACCCTTGCCTGGTCTCAAGAGAAGGAAAGTTTAGCTTGAAATCCTAGATGCTAGTAAAATTAGCTCACATTTTTTAATCTCAAGAACTGTACTGTCTGATCTATGATAAATACTATGCTAGGAGCAGACTGAGAAGTACTTAAAGTGCACCTTTTTACCAAAAGCTGTGCCCGTCGCCAAACTTAACAAGGTTTGTGGAGCGTCCACCATGTGACTTATCACAGCTGTCCCCCGCAGCGCCCGCTCCCTGCCACATCTGCTTGTCACACAGGCTCACTGGCAGCCCCGCCCGCCCTTTTGCACGCGATTACCTTAAAAGTGCGAACTCGGACACACCTGGTCTTTTTTTTCTGAGAAGGTTACTAACCTTGAGCTGTGAGTGCTGTGCGCTCTCACTCCTCTCCCCGTGGGTGTCTTGGTTCAGGGCTTTTATCTTGTTCTGTTTATCGCGGCCTCTTGGCCTCCCCCCTCGAGGTCACCGCAAGCTCCCTCCACCGGCGCCGCAGGAGAGCGGCGAGCTTGCGCCCGCGCAGCAGCCGGCTCTATCTGTGCTTGCCAGCTCCTCTCTCCACCGGAGCTTCTTAGGGTAGCAGCCGAGGCGAAGCACTAATATTTCATGAAGCAATGTTTTTTGAAGTCAAGAAGTGCCTACCTGCTTCTGGAAACATCTTTACCATTTCAGCTACTCGGACGCATTCCAAATTCAGGATTCTGTTCCCCCTTTCCCCTAAGATTCTAACAATTCAAAAAGATGCACTTCTTATTCTCTGTTCTAACTCTAAATGGAAACCGCATGCAAAAACTTGAACTTGGTTTCTTTGTCTTTTCTTCCCTATTTTTTTTTTCTGCAAATCAAAGCACGTCCTACTCAGTGGCGTCTTAAAGTCAGGAAGCTTTCTGATCTCTGCCCATATCTAAGCATGTTTCGGTCCTACTTTCTAGATACTTTCTCTTTTTTTTTTTTTCCTTGCGTCTCATTCTTAAGAACTGTCTTCACGTGGTTAGCAGCTTCTATGGCTTAGAAATACGACAGTTTCTTAGCTGTATCAGAGGATGGCAAAGTTAGTTTTATTTATTCCTTTGATTTATTAGGCCAGGGAGGCTTCCTGTTGGTTAAACCACCGTGAAGGACGGTGGCTGAGGCTTGGGTTTTTTTTAAATATTCATGGACACGCCGGGAAGGAAGGATCGCATCTGGCAGGTGAGAAGTTGCCTCGGAAACACCTGCCTCACTCTCGCCACTGCCTTCCATGCCTCACTATCCTCGAGGGAATATCCAGGCTTCTTCCCGCCTTGCAAGGCCGGTGCGACTGGTCTCTGCCTGGCTCTCCACTCTCACGTGTCACAGCGCTCCGCTCACGAGCAGCCGACACCCCGGACCCAGCTAACATTTTATCATGGGAGGACGATACTCTGAGAGGGCAGGGCCCTTGCGCATGGGCTTCCCTTGCCCTGACTTCTCTTATCCCTCTGCCATCCAGCAGTTCTCAGCTCAGAGGTGTCTCCTGAGCTCCTCTCCCCGGGGCCCCCAAGAGTGGGTCAGGTGTTTGTCCTGGGAGTTCCCGGTAAATGCCAAATGCGTCCTTACTGAAACGCCCAGCACATCCTATTGTGTTGCCTGCGTGCTCGCTGCAGTTCTTACTAAGCCTCATAAACCCCTCTGGGCAAGGCCCTAAGTCTCATCCCCTGCACAGTCCCGGCGCCTCGCAGGTGCCCTGCACATGGTGGGTGTCATCTTCTGACTGAGGATGAAGCAACACAATGACTTCATCCGTGAGGTTTCACAGCATGTATTCCACATTCTAGTTGCAATCCCAATTCCATCTTGTTTCCAATCTGCTGTTACTGGGTTTTGGTGGGGCTTTTTGCCTCAATTTTCTATTTTCCCAATGCATAAGACAAAGGCAGCCCTGATCCAAAATACACACTGATTTTGCAGGACAAACTCAAAGACAAACTTTATTGACTTGAGTCAACTAGTCCTCAGAATGATTCAATTGAACCTCAAACATTGGCTGAAAAAGTCACCGTCTACCCACATGATGCACAACGGGTGGCATGTTGGTGCCTATTGTAATAGTAGATGATATTTACATCTATGGGGTAAGTAGATGATACTGACATCTAAGGGGGCTTGAAAGTTTCTTTTGCCCACTCCCTGACTCACAAAATCCACATTGATACAGGCTAGGTAGTTTCCCCAAATTACTGTATCTTTTATAAGTAATTATAAAATTACTCCCTAACTCAGTGTCCGTATGCAAACACACAGACACACGCATCCTCCTGCTCATTATTACCCATAGCCCATGATAAAGTTATTGCAATTACTAAAGAGGGGAGAATGGAAACAGCTTTTGTTGTTTCTCTGTAGGGGTGATCTTGTCTGGTTTCTTCAGCTTGTTCTTAGAGGCTCTTGAAATCTTATAACACAAATAACAATTAGCTCTGTGTAGCTCCCAAAGGAACACAGGCAGCCCGAAACCCTGGTCCCAGGGGTGTAACACTGCTCTCCCCAACATGAAGCTTCCTAATTTTACTCAGCAAATAGGGGAAATGTTAAAATCATGTGATCAATAACGAGTCACACAAAACAAACAGTAAAAATTAACCAGACCAATGGAATCGCCTTATGCCTCCAGAGAACAGGTGCACTAAATGTTCCCACTAGGACAACCGAGGGAGGTGTAGAAGGGGACACATAGTGAGGCAGAGTGAAGATCACCTACCACTCCCAGAGAGAGGTGAACGAGATTCCTCCCTCCAACATTTTCTCGTGACCCTTACAGGAGGCTTTTTCAACAATTTAAAAGCAAAAATATTCTTTAACCTTACCAGCGGTTGGCAGAAACACAGCAAAGTCACCACCTCCCTGGCGGGGCGTCACATTAACTACCTCCTGCCTCTTTTTCTCTCAGGTCACCAACTCACTGTTCTAACAAAGGGTAAAGAAAGAGAAAGAATTAAGCATTTCTCCTGGCTTTCCTGTACAAACTGTAACTCAAGGTGACCCAAAGTTTCTCTTTATTGAAAAATTCAGCTCCCAAGCAGGAAAAAAAAAAAAGACATAGCTATTTTTTGTCACCATTTTGCAACCCCTATTAAAATAATAGGTCGGGACAATTGTTAACAGATGCTAAAGCCATTAGGTGAAAGGTTAATGGGGAACCTTATAATGAAAGGTGCTGCTGACTGACAATACCTGATCAACCGTAATTTCACTAAAAAACGGTACAAACGGAGGTGGGGGGGGGGTCCCAGCAGGAAGAGAACAGCGCCACCTAGGAAGTGCTCTTCCCAAGGTAGCTACTACCCTGAATCCAGTGTCGCCTCTAGAAGTCACTAGTAATGCACAGAGAACACAGGCAATAGGAGACTGAGTTGAGGGACACCATGAGGAAGCAATGAAATAAACGCAGAAAGCAAGAGCTACTTACTACAGGACAAATGTCTCAGGTTCTTCAATAAACAAATGGCGGTGATGATTAACATGAGAAAATAGCACGTGATCCAGTAAATGCCAAAAAGGCACTTGACGATTTTAAAGATTCCTTGCCTGATAAGCACTCATGGCAATTTTGGAATTTCATTAGCTTGATAAGGAAAATTGATTAGAAACTAACAGCAAGCTTGATGGTGAGAGCCTAGAGGAACCTCAATTCAATTCCCAAGTAAGACGAGATGATTACAATCACTGCCGATATTTAACATATTCTGGCAGTTTTCATTAAACGTAATAAGTTGAAAAAGGAATAGGAACTGTACATCTTGAAAATTACTTAAAAATGTATTATTTGTAGAAGCTCATCCTAGAGAACACAAAGAATCAAGTAAAAAATAAAAGAAATAAGTCATCTAAAAAAATAAAATTTTATAAGATTCAATAGTTTTATTGTATGTCATACACAAAAGAGCAGCAAAAATTATACATACATATGTATATGTAGGCATAAGTATGTGTGCGTAAATATATATATATATATATATATAGGAAGGTACCTCAAGAATTTGTAGGAATTAAACAAAAAAAATTGTGAATTCTATCAAAGGACATAAAAGAAGTTTTAAATAATGATGGTATATGCTATCTTCTTCTATGGAAAGACCCTAATTGGGGAACATATCAAAAATTTTTTTTATTTACCTGGAATTTTATAATCTTTTACCTTTTCAGGCAGGTCGGGCTGTGAAAAGCTGATCATGTGGCACTTGTTGACTACACTCTGTGATGACCAGGCCTTCAGAAGAAGTTGGTTGGGGATATTTATTAATATTAATAGTTATCTTCTGTGCTTAGTGTGTTTTGTGTCTGTGAATGTTCACATAATAAAAAGGTCTTAATTAGCAAGAGCTCTGTCTAAATGCATAAGAATAGCAAAGTACTTTTTCAAAAAGAGGAAAAGCAAAGTGGGGTTATCCGTCACCACCCAACATTAAAATATCTTATAAAGCTACACAATGTTAAGGTGGAAGAATCGAGAGTTCAGAAACAGACCTGAAGAATTACAGGTCTTCAGTGTGTAATGAGGGTGACATTTCAGTTCAGTAGGGAAAGGACTGAAGTCCTACCACACAGTGCTAGAGAAGCTGACTTGCCCTGTGGACAATCTCGGGCAGGCCCTTGTGCGGCAGGACCCCTGTGTGCCCCGCCCAGGGCCAGAGACCCCCTTCTTCAGCCTCCCTTACAGGTGGGGTCCTTAGGGGGCGCAGGACCTAAGCTCTGCCAAATGTGCTGTGCTCTCACAATTTGGATCCAAAGCTTGGTGACCCCAAGCAGGGAAGAAGCAAAGCCACAGGGTCCCTTCTGGCCGGAGGGCTGCAGGGGCTGCAGCTCCGTGGAGCCCCCAGATGTAGCCCCCCCATGCCCACCAGGAGCAGGGACTCTGCAGTCAGGTGCCAGCTGCAGTGACACCCTCCCCAGGCCCACGGGGTGGGGTGCTGGGGACACTGTTGAAGGCTGAATTGCATCAAACAAACCTCTCTCCCCCGCCCCCTGCCCTTCATTCTGTGACCTATCCCCTATCCTGCCTCCTGCATCTTTTTAATGTCACTTCCTCCCCAAGTTAGAACTACTTGGAAATGTTATAATTAAGAACCCTGATTAATACACTCACTTGTTGCGTCAGCATAAATTTCAAATGTATTAATAATATGAATGAGAAGGAGGATATGTTGTATAAACTTGAGGGTAGAAATCAAGTTTTGGTTTTGAGATATATATATATATATATATGTATATTTGGTTTTGGTCAACCTAAACCAGAGAAAATGTGATAGATTTTTCTACATAAAAAACTTAGAATTTTGGCATACACTAGCAAAGAAAAAAGGTAGGAGAATTGGGAGAGGGCTTATATGAAAGTTATGAGAGACAGCAGTATAATGTTTTCTAAATGCAAAGTGCTTAAGTGTCAAAGACAAAAAAATTTAAAACCCAGGAATATCCCAATGAAAACACAGGCAGTAGGCATTGAACATCAGTTCACGAAGAAGGAATATAAATAGAAAAATGTAAAAGGTCATTTACTCTTACCAGTTATAATCAGTAAAAATTAAAACAATGATGTACTAATTTTTGCATATCAACTTTGCAAAGGTATAAACAAAAAAATGATAATGCCCATTGTCAACAAGAGTGAGTGAAGACATAGATTCCCAAATGCTGTTGATTCAAGTATAAATGAGCATACATTTTCTGTGTGTATTAATAGATCGAGTTAAGCCATGGAAAGTATAGACTTGTTATATCCTTGAACCCAGCAAAGCGACCTCAAGGTATTTATCCTAGGGAAGAGTAAAATTAGCAAATTTAGCAAAGATATACGTTTAGAAATATGTAAATATTCTAGAGTATTTTTTATGAATAAAAACTGGAAATAGTCTTCATGCCCAACTCTGGACTGGTTGAATGAATTGTGATACATCTACATAATGGGATAGGATGCTGTTCTTCAATGATTATGCAAGTCTATATTTAGGGATGTAACACTAT